GGGTATGAGAGCGAGGACGAGGAGTTCGACGCCATAGTCCGCGGCGAGAGCCCACTCACCACCACCTCCGCCCGTGCGCAGTCGGATGATGACCACGAAGACCAATTCAATGGCGACACGGAGGGGGAGGAAAGGAGGGAAAAGGAGAGGCATGGACGACAGCGAGTAGACGCACTGGCTGCAGTGGGCAATGAGTTCTCATCGTCGTCAGCATGGGGTGCATTCCGGCCCGCGGACACAAGACATCATCGTGACGACTGGGGGGAGAAGAAAAAGGGGCACGATGCGTACGATGATGGCATTGACGGCAGTGGCTACGACATTCTGGCCGAGGATGACGCGGCGGTGAACAAATCCGTCTTTGCAGACGCCGAACTGGACGATCTCGTGTTGACTTTTTTGGCGCCGCGACAGGCAACAACAAAAGGAACCACCACTACAACGGCGGCTGCTTCTGTTTCCGGAGCGGTCTCTTCTCTGCGCAACGATGGCGACGAAGATGCCATCCAGTTTTACGACCCGCAGCATAGTCGCGTTGGCGAGGATAATGGGCGGAATAACGGCGACGGCGATAACAATGATAACAGTAATAATAACGACGATTTGGAGGAGGCAGCGGCTATTGTGAGCGGTAAAACACTGACAGAAGAACAGGAGCGTCGTCTGCAGAAGAAGATGGCGAAGAAGAAGGCATTTGATGAGTCCTACGACATGGGCGACAGGAGCAACACATACGCGCACTACCACCAACTTACCCGTGTGGTTGAGGAGAAGAAACAACGACTTGATGCGGCTCTGCAGGAAATGGGCGAGGACGTGGCGAAGAAAATTCAACTCGTCGGGTACTTTAGTGGATTGTACGTTCGGTTTGTGCTTGAGAACGTTCCAGTGGAGTTTGTGCGGCTCTTCGACCCGACGATACCGCTGATCGCCGGCGGCGTCAATGCAGGGGAGGACCAGTTTCAGATTGTACACGCAAGGCTGAAGCGTCACCGCTGGTACCCAAAGATTCTTAAGGCCCAAGACCCGCTGTTGTTATCCATGGGATGGCGCCGCTTTCAGACGCAGCCGATCTTCGCTACAGAGGACCCGAATGGTCGCGTGCGGTACTTGAAGTACACACCGCAGCATATGCACTGCATCGCTGCCTTCTATGCACCGGTGGTACCGACAAACACGGGATTTATTGCCATTCCTGTCAAGGAGCAACGATCTCCCAATTTCCGTGTTTCTTGCACAGGATACACGCTTGGAAACGATCATGCTACAAACATTGTGAAGAAGCTCAAACTGACTGGAACACCGCATAAAATAATGAAAACCACAGTGTTTGTTAGGGGGATGTTTAACAGCGACATGGAGGCAACCAAGTTTGTGGGCGCGAAACTGAAGTCGGTCTCTGGCATTCGTGGCATCGTGAAGGCGGCTCTCAAGGGCAAGGACGGATTGATACGCGCCACCTTCGAGGACAAACTGCTCCCCTCCGACATTGTCTTCTGTAGAGCATGGAAAACGGTACATCCGCCGAAGTATTGTTCCATGCAGCGCAACCTTGTGGACGCAAACTGGATGGGAATGCGCAATATGCGGGAGCTGCGCTGGGAGCACAACGCCCCACTTGTCACAAAAGGTGATTCGGAGTACAAGGAGATCAAACGCCGCCAGAGGGACGACGAGGACTATGCGGCAGCGGATGCCACTAAGGTGCTTCTCTCCCGCAATCAAAAACTGCAACTTCCGTTTAATATGAAGGAGGAGTTTATTCCGCTTGAGCGAACCACGGCGCTGCAGCAGCGCCTTGC